TAGCTTACAAGTAAAATTTATCATTCTTTATTAGAACACTGAGTCATATGGTTATTTTACTTGTTATTGTAACAAATTAATTATTATAACAATGCGATAAAAAATATTTAATACAAAAAATCTTGGCGCGGCTGCACCAAAAACTATCGAACTAAAACTTGTTTAATACATATATGACAGCATTTTTATTATAATAAAATGTACTTGTAAATTCTCTCTATATATATACGGTGTAATGTTTTATTTATGTTTATATAGTGTTATAATAAATAAATTATAAACCTTTATTATAGAATATATTATAATAAAAATGCTGTCATGTATTAAACAAGTTTTAGTTCGATATAGTTTTTGGTGCAGCCGCGCCAAGATCTTATGTATTAAATATTTTTTATTGCATTGTTATAATAATTAATTTGTTACAATAACAAGTAAAATAACCATATAACTCAGTGTTCTAATAAATAATGATAAATTTTACTTGTAAAAATTTGTTATTCTATAAAAAAATTTGTCGAACAAAAGTTGCATGGCTTGAAGGATGACACATAACGGAAATGTGGACTTGACCTTGAGTGAAGTGACCTTGTCAAAATCAGGCCAAGGTCATTAATGTTTTTTTAAATAGAAACTACAATTTTTTATTACATATTCTTGTAGCTTATCTCAAGAGCTTTCCAATACACTCTAACAAAGTTACATTTCATCGAGTACTTTCCGAGTTATGAAGCTTGGAACTTAAGGCAAGACCGATCATTGATCCGACCAATTAAGGCAAGATCAATTCGAATATGTCTTTAGCCGTTAATAAGTCTTGGCCTTAGAAGTACGAAATAAAACTTCCTTGCTTTTATTACAATATCCTGTAAGTTAGCAAATATTTTTCACACATACAAACATAGTATTATTATATTTTTACTGAGTAGTGCACTAAACAACTATAACATTGTTCTGAGAGCTTTCTCATTTAGAGCGACTAAACAAATATATTTTATGAATTTTTTTTCGCGCAGATAGAAAATTTCACGGATGTAATTGTTTTTGGAGATTATTTAATACTGTATGAAAAATATTTATTAACTTACAGGTTATTGTAATAAAAGCAAAGAGGTTTCATTTCGTACTTCTTGATTCTGTTACAATATTCTTTTATATTTCATACTATATCCTTGTATAACTTAAAATTATTCTTAAAATATTATTAAACAATTCAATAATCAAACCTGTGAACTTGCCCGACTCCGCAAAATAATTAATAAAATATATTTCATTTTCTTGGCGCCGAATATTATTAATACTATTACAAATAATATTACGAATGATATAAATTTTTACAAATAAAATTTGGAAAAGTTTATTATTATTATTTGTAATCTTATTATACAATTACAAATAAAATTACAAATAATAATATTACAAATAAAATTACAAATAATAATATTACAAATAATATATATTACAAATAATAATATTATTAATAATAAAATATTATTTGTAATAATTTCGGTGCGCCGAGTAGACAAAACTTTCAGTATTGTCATAGAGAGGAAAGGAGAGAGAGAGAGAGAGACAGTGGAGCCCGCGATTCAAATTACGGGCAAGAAAGAATTAGGCTCGCTGAGCGAGAACGAGAGCGACAAGGAGGGAATGATATTCTCTCTCTCTCTCTCTCTCTCGCTCGCTCGGCGCGTCGACATTGCCGATCGCGTGGCTCACACGGATTGACCGAGCTGACTGTGTGCGTATATGGGGGCAGGGGGAGGAGAATCCTCGTGCAAGCTCGTCACCAAATTCGCATCACTGATATCAATGATGTCAAAACCGAACAAGCTGCGGACAAGCGTAACTTGTAAATACCGGAGATCAATTGTTTATCAGCTCATAGACAATTAATATGACGAGATACCCGCGGAGACCCATGTACTTCTCTTTCGTCTTTGCGCACAATTGCTATCAATAAAAAATTTTCACGAATTGTTCGGTTTTGACATTGATTTTGGTATACGTGTGTATGTGTGTGTGTATGTTTACAATTGCGTGCACGTACAATTGCGATATACACTTATCACATTAGCATTGATCATTTTTATTCATGCTAAAAGAAATAAGTATGATTATGTAAAGAATTTGTTTGCGTATTATTATACATTCTACATAGTTCTCCCTGTGATAGTAAAAATAACACACTTGAACAACCTCTACGCTCATATCACAAAGCCTGATCCACTGCGCTACTGAAGCAAATTGGTAATTCTTCTGCTATAACGACATTAACAGAAAAAACTAAACTTCGAACTACATTTCTCAAAAACGTTTAAGATTTGCACCGTTATTGGGTAGCAATACAAGTTTGTTACTATTACATCAATATTATACTTTTCTAAAAGCAAAATGCACGGTGATTTCCAGGATGAAGATTCCTCTTGTGTGAGATATTAATTATTCATTCATTATTAATGGGAAAATATTTTCCTTTGGTTTAAATGTTCAAGAAAAGTTATTTGTCCTCTGAGAATCTTTCAATTTTTATGTTCGTGAAAGGTTTATAAAATTCGTAGAGAAAAAAAATTATTTTACTACCTACCTGTTCAAGAGTTGCGCATAAGAGATATTTTAACAAATCTGAATCTGAATCAGTCAACAAATTAAATTTTTCATTCAATGAAGCATATGTAGGGTAAGCATAAGTAAGATAAGTATAAATAATAAATTAAATATTATTCTCTGAATATAATAATAAATAAATGTTTTTTTCTTTAGCTGAATCATCGAAGTAAATATTCTATTATAAATTGACTTTTCGGATTACAATATTAATTTGATTTTTCAGAGTACGCTTTCCAATTGACTCTTCGGAATACGCTATTAAATTGACTTTTCGGAGTACACTTTTGAATTGACTCTTCTGACTACACATTTGTTAGTTGACTCTGTGGAGTACATATTTTTTAATTAACTCTTCGGAGAGAAAAGAAGAGGAACATTTTCTATTTTATTTAAAAAATCTTAATTTTTGCAGAAAACTGATTGATGAAGAAAAGAATTAATTTACGACCTCAACGAAGATCTTAAAAAAATTACTGCAAGAAATGAAGTTGTTGTTATTATATACGAGGGTAGTTTGATAAGTCAGTGACTTTTTTAATAAAAGATATTTTTTTCGGCAAATAAGCGTTTTATTTCTCAACGTAGTCTCCTAGTTTAGCTCGATACATTTAGTCCACCGTTTTTCCAATTTTTTTATTCCTTCCAAATAATAGATTTTCTCAAGGCCTTCAAAATAGACGTTTGTTTCAGTGATGACCTCTTCATTCGACCCAAATCTCTTACCGCCCAGCCATTTCTTCAGGTTTGGAAACAGGAAATAGTCGCAGGGGGCTAAATCTGGTGAATATGCTGCATGGGGTAGCAGTTCGTAGCCCAATTTATGGATTTTTGCCATGGTGACTACACACGTGTGCACCCGTGCATTGTCCTGATGGAACAGCACTTTTTTCTTCGCCAAATGCGGTCGTTTTTGCTTCAAATCAATATCGAATCTGTCCAAAAGCTCTGAATAATATTCGCCGGTGATCGTTTTACCCTTTTCAAGGTAATCGATGTGAATGATACCGCGTGCATCCCAAAAAAACTGTGGCCATGATCTTGTTGGCCGACAGACCCACCTTGGCCTTCTTTGGTGCACGTTCACCCGAAGAAACCCACTGTCTTGATTGTTCCTTGGTCTCTGGTGTGGTGTGATGGATCCATGTTTCGTCTACGGTAACGAAACGGCGCAAAAACTCGTTCGGATTGCGGCTGAACATCGCCAAACACTCCTTTGAAATGGTCACACGGTTGCGCTTATGGTCGAGTGTGAGCAATCGCGGTACCCATCGCGCGGATAGCTTTTTCATGTCCAAATATTCATGTAAAATGTGATGTACCCGCACAGTTGAGATGCCTACAGCCTCAGCCACTTCACGCACTTTCATTCTTCGATCGTCCAATATCATTCCATGGATTTTATCGACGATTTCTGGCGTGACGACCTCTTTTGGGCGACCTGAACGTTCGGCGTCACTTGTGTTGGTACAACCACAACGGAACTCAGTAAACCACTTCTTAACCATTGAAATTGATAGTGCAGAGTCCCCATAATATTTATCAAGCTTTGCCTTGGTTTTGGTGATGGTTTTTTTACGCAAAAAATAATGCTTAATCAGTACACAAAATTCACTTTTTTCCATTTTCGTTAAAATTCACGAGGTTGTCTGCTTTCAATGACTGTCAAACACTAACTAAATGGCGCAGTTTGCCCAAACTTGTACAGTAGTCTATTAGTCTTAATAGATGGCAGTTGACGGGAACAGTGCTGCATTTAAAGTTACTGCGCGGAAAATTCAAAAAGTCACTGACTTATCAAACTGCCCTCGTACCATATTGTACAATATTAAAACATACGCGCAATAATTATCTATAATTTGCATATATGGGCGTTTATGTAATTATAAATAATATAAAAGTCATGACAAATTAATGTGGCCGCGTGTTATCTCTGTCGTCATTGCTAGAAATCGTCCGAACTCTCGAAATTATTTTCTTCCCGAATTATGAATATAAAACAATGTGGAAAGGAAAATAAGGGGATAAAAGGGGAGACGGCGATGTCTGCCTTACGATAACATCGCTGCTGGCTCGCTTCGTCGCGATTGTCTATTCGCTGGTGGTGAGACGAAGACCGATTCATAGTTTTTATCTAACTAATCTAGCTCGTTCGTGAACATAGCACAGAACAGAACCAAATAATTATGGACATAGCACGGAATAGTACCAGCAAATCGTGGACAGTGGCTTAGTAGTTCATGTCCATGAAAAATGGACCCAGTTGGCGCTGCGAATCAGCCAAGTTTTCCATAACGCTGTAAATGCAGCCATGCCCGCTCTCAGGCTTCTCTCTGCTCGCAGCTAAGAATCGGCCGCCCGGGTGATATAACCGAGCGCGATCGCGAGCAGCGTGCCTTCGCATGGTCTAACGCCGATTGTGGTAATCCCTGGTGTCTGGTCTGTGCGACTTGTAGCGCCCGTCTTTACCAACGATCTCTCTAGGCTTTCCTAGAGCAGTTTTAGTGCTTAGTCGAGATTCAAACCAACGCACTCTACACTCTGCTGAGTTGACTGCGGTGCTAATATACCCTGCTGGGGTGCGTTCAGATCTCCCACCTAGGTGCCCCGAAGCACCTAAACGTCGTTCAGATTCCCCTTGCTTCCACCCAAGTGGCGTTTAGTATATCGTTCAGATTCTATTCGAATACACCCGGGTGAAGTGAGGAAAGCACCCTACTCTTGATGCAGGGTGCCAGCGAGTAGATTTTAAATATTTTGCGCGGCAAGTAAACAATTGACGATAAAGTGAAAAAGAGTGCTTACTACACAAAGAATGAACCTGAAACTCGTAGTCACGGAGAATGGTTCTCCAGTTATTGAGCACAATAAGCTAGTTGTGTGGGACGTTGATGGCAAGTTGTTTATTTATCATTGATATAATTTTATTAACGTTTTACATAAAAAGAGGTTATGATGGACGAGGTTTCATATGAATTTCTTCTTCGTCGATCTTTTCATGATTTATATTTCTTTTATTGCTACAGGTAATTGTCCAGTGCACCTCGATATGACACCTGAAAATCTTGTATCTTTCAATCTACAAGTAAAAATAAATTCCTCAGGCAAGTTCTTTTTATTTTATTAACCTCTATTTTACTAAGTATTATATATGAGACTATTTTATTCACGATAAATCTCTAAAGATTAAATACTTATTGAATAGGTAAGAGTCAAGAAACAGAAACACTATTGTCTAATGAGCAGCTCACTGTGAACTGCGAGAATGCAAGTTCACAAAGTCAACAGCTTACTGACATCTCTAGCAAGAAAAAAAGTACGCTTACTTTTTAATTGTAATTCCACCTTTTCATATATCACTTTATTATTAATTCTTATTTCTTGTATAGATGCAACATCATGGAAAGATAACCATGCTGTCAAAACCCTCATTGAAGAGTGGAGGGAACATGAAAACTATTTCAAGAGCACTACTATTACTAATAAAAAAGTCTGGGAAATGATAGCTAGTAGATTGAAAAAAGAGAATCCACTCTGGAACTACACTGGTCAGCAGTGTGAGGATAAATTCAAGGACCTTAGAAAACATTATATAAAAGCTAGGGACCAAAATGAAAAAAGCAGTGGCCTTCCAGTTGTTACCTGCAAATTTTATAAAGAGATGGATGATGTTCTTGGTGATAAACCAGCTGTGAAACCTATATGCATAGCTTCAACATTAAAAAAACGTTATCAACCTGATTCCCAGGACTCTTCAAGCACAGCTTCTGCAACTTACACAGTAATAGTGAAAATGACAGTGATCGTGGTTATGATTGTTCCTCTAAATTTAAAAAGAAAAGAAAAGTGTTACTGAAAGAAATCTCGAAAGACTACTTGCTATTAGAACAGAGGAATCTAAAAAAAAGGAAGAGGCTCAACAGAAAAGGCATATTGAACGAATGCAGCGTCAAGATCATGCAATTGAAATTTATCAAAGTGCAATGAACCGACTATTAGAAAAGTTGTAGTTAGAGAAGTTATAAGTAATGCAAGAAGTAGAGAATAGAGAAGTAGTGCAGTTTTTCCCTGTTTTCACCAATATATGTCACTTTTTAAAATTATTTTATTTTTTTCGAGTTTCTGTTGTGATTAAAACACTTAATATTTTCGTTGGGTATCAGAGATCTATGTTTAAAGATAAAATTCAAGATATATGATTTCACTTATTTGCTACAATTCTTAAGTATATATTCATAAGATATTCATATTCATAAGATTATGCATATATTCTTTGTTTTGTTTCTGATACTTAATATTAAGCATTAATATTTTAGTATAAGTCCTGAAGTTCTAATATAGACTTTGAAGTTAACTGCACATAATTATGTAACTTTAAGGTTTTTTTTTCAAGATTTCTAATCCTACTTCAAATATTTATTTTTATACATCTAAGATATGAGAAATTTATGTTATTGATTTAATAGAGTAGAGAATAGGGATTATGTAATAATAAGGATAGTAAGGATATAGAGAACATTGAATATTGTTTATGTTGTCAACTAAAACACTAATTTAATTAATAATTCAGTCACGTTCTTAAAAATATATTTTTTGAAAGAGAGAGAGAAAGAATACAATTACATGATTTAATACATAAAAATGTTCTATTACAAATATTTATACTTTAATTTAATTACATTATTCTTTAGCAGGAAACTTTATATGATTATTTACTAAACATATTAAACATACGTAGTCAGTATTATGTTATTATCGCACAAGAGTTACTAAATAATTTCTTTTTGCCACACCAGCATCATCTTCATCTGCCTCTAATACATTTTGTACAGCATGGACTTCATTTTCCTGGCCTTCTAGGATATATTCTTTTATGTCATCATCAAGTCCTTCAAGGCAAATATTGTGAAGAACTGTACAAGCAATTATCACAAAAGATATTATGTCTATTCTATTCATATCAAGATATTTCAGTCTTCGAAATCGTCCTTTCAATAACGCAAATGCTCGTTCAATGACTTGCCTAACTTTAGACAACACGTCATTAAATCTCTTTTGAGCCTGCAAAAGAAAAATGCCTTGATAATTTTATGGATCAAATATAAGTAGAAAATTAAGAAAACGTTTACCGTATAAGGAAAACTTAAAAATGAAAAATTAATATGTTTCTTTAGATATAAATACCAAATATACTAAGTATGTTTTTACCGCAGTAAGATTGCCATGATCACGAAAACCAGAAATACACCAATGTAATATAGGGTAAGCCTTGTCACCAATAATGTATTCTTCATTAGGAAAATACAACAGTCTATTTGTCTGTACTTCTGACCATAGATCAAAATTTCTGAACACTCTTATGTCACCAACAGATCCTGGATAACCAGCAAAACAATCCAAAAATGCCATCTCAGAATCACATACAGCTTGAAGTATAACAGCGTAATTTTTCTTGTATGTCTTATAGGACAGACAGTCTTTCTGTAAAAGAATCATGGCAAATTTTAACATTGTAAATCCGATATTCAGAGACATCACATGTTTATTTTAATTTTAAGCAAACTCATTAATTTTTCTGTATAAAATCATATCATGAGAATATTGAATAAACCCATCAAAAGAAGAACTTGTATTGTCTTTTAAAACAAAAAACTTACATATGGCTTTTTTATGGAAATGTGAGTACCATCTATAGCTCCAATTATGTTAGGTAGTACTGACAACCTCTGAAATTTCTGTTTCACTGTTGCTAATCTTTCCTCTCTTGGCCATTGTACAATATCCCCAGCAATATTATTCAAGGCTTGTATAACCCTCATAAAACTGACATTCAATGAACTTTTGCTCATGTCGAACTTTTCTCCTACAGATCTAAAACAAATAAATAAATGATTATTCATAAGCAAGATTTACAATCAAACATCTTCCAATTTTCATGGTCATAAATTATATAAACATAACATACTTTAAAATTTATGATTGCAAAGTTATCATTATTTCTTTAGAAAAATATCTTAAGAGGAATTTACCTGTAAGAATCTGGTGTAGCCAACAACCAAAGGGTTGCAAGCAATTGTTTTCGAACTGGTATGTGACGTTTTATACCGACATCTTCTTGTAAAGCTGGTGCCAATTTCTGTTCGAGCTGATTGTATGTTGTAAGAGTTATGCGAAAATGTTTCCTGAACTGTTCGCGATGAAGTTGCGGGATTGTACGTTCCACATAATCTCCAATTCTTGTAGGTTTACGTTGAAGTCCTCGCAATTGCAAATGTATTTGCATATCTAACTCACCGTCAGACACGTCACTATTACTACTGTCACTGTCACTTTCCATTATCTTTTGTAAAAAGTTATTACTAATAGTAATAGCTAATGCTACAATTGCTCAATGATCCATCTTGAACAAAGTTAATGTTTGTCGTTGTACTTTTTCTTTTTGGCGCCTTCACATGGCCCCCAAGTGCGTTCATATTCTTCAGTCTACTGAAATCACCCGACAATAGCCCCGCCTACTCCCGGTCCACCTTACCCGCACTCGACAGGTGAGATATTTGAACGCACCCCTGGGTTGAAGCTTTATGGTTGGAATCTACTATGTTCAGCTGTGAGTTCCCTGCGTTGCCACGCTTCAGGAGCGGGCTTTGGTCGCCTTCGTGTGAGACAGGTGAACTCTCTGTTTCCAAGCGTCCGTCAAGGAACTTGGCTTTTAGGAGCGGCGTTGCCGTTTCCTTCGGAGTTTGCGAACTCTCTCTCTCTTCCAAGTATCCGTCAAGGATCTTGGCGATTTGACCAGCGACGCGATCGCGTCTTTGAGCACGCTGAGCTCTCGTTTCAAGCGTCCACAGGACATCGGCGTTTCGCCGCAGGAACGACTCAGTCGCCTCTAGCGTGACAGAGCTCAGCACTTTCGTTTGCTTGGCCACAGTTTCCTTTTTACTGTGGCATCTTGCTGGCCGTTGAGTCCGAAAGGGCAGGTCTTCTGAAACGACGGAGGTCGTTTCATATTAGCGCTTGTCGATCTATTTCGTACGAGCGTTGCTCGGGTTGCTCGGTTCGGATTTACGACCCGAAAAGGCCGCACGAGATCCGAGTCTACTAGCATCTCTAACTCCGATCCTTCTGACAAGTGTGTTCTGGCATCCCTGCGTCACGGCCATTCAACCACCTGACGCGGCAACAATAGTCGACTGTGATTAGTTAATTTCTTAAAGCTTAAATCTTAGAATTCTATTGTTGACTGGGGCTTAGAACGACTTTAAAAATTTCATGTGGTTAGTTGCAAAACAATTAGTCTTCATGTAAATTAATAATCATATTATTTACTTATTACTTACTTATTATTATTATACAATATCTATACAAAATACACTACCATATGTTTAAAAAAGGAACGATATAAAAGATTTATTTGTAGGAAGTGAATTAATTTTTAGATACGCGTTATTGAGATTTCTGATTAACGAGTATTCATGAAAATAAGTGAAATTGTATTACAATATTTATTTTTATCAATCTGACGTTCAATCTTACGTACAATCTTACGTTCAAATCTTACGTACAATCTTACGTTCAATCTTACGTACAAATCTGAGTATATAATAAGCATATAACATGTTTTTTGTGAAAAAGATGTGATATCCTAACAAACCTACCTTTTTGCTAAAAAGGTGAAAAAAAAGCGCCAAGTTCACGCATTCCAATTCATTCCCGTTCATTTACTAATATTATAACTAACTAGCTAATATTATAATTGTAAATGTACAAAAGCAAATGTTTCTAAAATATATTTTTTTATATGATAACAAATCTAAAAACGTTAACATGAAATATTATTATTCAAATTTCTATTTTTTATAGAAGAAAATATTAAATAGTTTAACCAAATAAAAATAAAAAAAAATCAAATTATATCATTTTATTTGTATTTTCTACAAAAATAATGGTATCACAAAATTTACGCCAAATATTCCCGTACGGCACAAAAATTTGCAGCAACATTGCAATGTTGTACATTGCAGAGCAATGTTGCAGCAACATTGTATAAATATTAGTATGCAGTATTGTTTAACCAATATTGCAGCAACATTGTAACAATATTGTGGCAAATAATATCCTATTTTTAATTGTATGAATGTTATTTCAAATAAATTTACAAAAATTATTAATAAAATTTTTATTATTATTATTACAATTACTTCGGTTATTATTACAATTATTATTACAATTACTTCTATAAATTTCAATTTTATACTTCTATATTATTCAATTTTATAGTCCATTTTTTCACTTTTATTGATAATAGTGCATTTAAAAATGACACTTAAAAACTACTTGATTAACTGGCAATTTACATTTTTTTATATGTGTTCGAATTTTAAGGAAGCAACATATATGATACCAACCAAAGATAATTATTTTTTTTTACTTATAGTAGCTATAATAGATAATTCTTTTTTGTTTATATAAAATATTTATATATTAATTATAAAAAATAATTCTTTTTCGTTTACTTATAATAGCTATAATACAAATACTTATACATATTATGTAACTTTATTTAAATTTATGTATTTATAATTATAAACATTATAACAGCAAATATCAGTAAAATATTTTAACAATACCCTGTATAAAACGTTATATTTAAAAGTATTGTTTCGCATTCACGAGATTTCGTCGTGAATTCTGCTTTGCGGAAATCTCGAATTGGATCGCGGGCCAATACTTTTCAATGCAACGGAAAATAGAACGTGAAAATCTTGTATGTCTCTGAATCCGAAAACAATTAGGAGAAGAAGTGAATACTTTTCATTGCGAAAGTTCGCATTTGCAAATTATCGATTGCGATTGAATGCAAGGCATATTTAAAATGAATCCTTTTTAATGCGAAACATTCACCACTGCCGTCTCGCATTTAGCGCGGTGAAATTTAATGGGAACTAATACTTTTCAATCCTTTTCTTCGGATCAGAAAGCAGAATTCAGACGTATTCAAAATGTCAATACTTTTTAGTACGTTTCAATTCGACATTATATATAGGGTATATAAGATATATATAGGGTATATAAGATATATGAAAGAAAGAGGGCATATTTAGGTGGCGACGGGACGCCGCCGTACGTTCAGGACCTGCATCTTATTTTTCGTTCCGAAGAGAGAAAAATAGCGTGAGAGCGCGGTAGTCGCTAGACCGGGAATCGAACCCGGGTCTTTCGCTTGCCGGGCGACTGCTCTATAATAAACCACTGAGCTATCTGACGCTCCACGCTCACGATACTCTCCTCTCCCTAGATAACGTTAAGAGATCATTATTTATTATCCCCAAAACTGAAGATTACAACTAAGCTATTGTATACAAGTCGGCATAATTGTCTTAACACACAAAAGGGAAACCATTGTAGAACACGCGGATCTCTTACGGAAATGTTTAGAGTACAATGGTATTATTTACGTACTAGTAATACTTAAATAATATCATTCTAAAACTTTACGTAAGAGATCCATGTATTCTAAAATGGTTTTACTGTTATTATATGTTAAGGCGATTATGCGAATTTGTGTATAATAGCGTGTGTATAATAACGTATGATCTAAAGTAATATTGCATACATATTGCATTGCAATATTGTTACAAAGTTGTATTGCAATATTTCTTAAGGCGGACATTTTATCGTTGCTGCAATCTTGAAGCAATGTTGTGGCAACATTTTGCAGCGTTTCTGCAATGTTGCAATCTTGCACTGCAATGTTTCCACTATGTTGTTGCAATCTTTCGGTGCTATACGAGTTGTTACAAATTATTATTTTTTACATTATATTTTATTATTGTTACCTTAGCCAAATAAAATTAAAATATTAAAATAAAATATAGTTATTTAAACTTATATTTGCCACAAAAGAAATGATATAGAAAATTAGATTGAACGTCAATAATTTCTGCAAAAATAAATATACATTAAAATATTGCATCAATTAAAAATGTAAAATAAATAATACATTATAAACTATGTTTATAATGTATTATTTATTATATGTATTATATATATAAACTATGTTTATGTTTTATATATAAAATTTTTGTATATATGCCTTATGTATAAAATTTTGTCATAAAATATGTCTTATATATAAAACTATTTAATATCTTTTTTTATAAAAAATAGAAATTTGAATAATATTTCATGTTAACGTTTTTAGATTTTAGAGCCGACACCGAACGCTGTACGTCAGCCCGTGTCGACGGCTCGTGCTCAACTTCCTCAGCTATTGTTGTTTTCTTCTTATCGATTTTCCGTCGTCCTGACAATCTTCGTTCAGTTGTCAAAATCAGCATCAGATGCCTCCTAAGGCTCGCGGACAACGGACGCTGCCACAAACCTTGTGGCTCGGATACAACACTGCACATATATATATTTATATATAATTTATATATAAATTATATATAATTTATATATAAATAAGTAATTTTGCAAAAGGTAAAGGTATACAAGGAGTTGATGGAAATTTATGGCATACAAGATTCAAAAACTGCTCCTGTCAAGTTCGAAGATTTGCAGCATATGAATTATTTGGAATGTGTTATTAAGGAGATTGAGACTTTTTCCCATATTACCTTTCATAGGACGACACCTTAATGAGAACTTACAAATAGGTTTGCTTATATATCTGCTATTGTAATAAATTAATATGTGACTTTTACTTACATTGCACATAATTGTTTGTATTTGTATGTTGCATTTATCAAAGATATTTACTCTACCACACAATAAAATATAAATTTGCTTAGGTTATCTATTGAAAATTATTATTATGACATTCATTTACAGAAGGATATGTTTTAGGAGGATATATTTTGCCGAAAGATGCTGAAATTTTAATAGGAATAATACATATGCACCGAAATGAAAAGTATTGGCCAGATGCGTTGACATTCAATCCAGATAGATTTCTTTCAGAGAATATGGAGAATATTCATCCTTATTGTTACATACCCTTTAGTAACGGTCCAAGAAATTATATAGGTAGATATAAATAACTTGAAACCTATTGTAGCGGAATATATGTTTAATGGATAAAATTGCAGGCTTAAGATATGCAATGGTATCTCTTAAAGTCCTTATTTCAACTCTATTGCGTACATTCGCATTAAAAATAGACAAAAGGATAGAAATAAATGAAATAAAGTTGAAGGCGGATATTACGATCCCGTAAGTCTTTAAAAGTGAGAATTGAAAAGAGAAGTTGACGACGCAACAATATGAAAATATGCAGGCAGGGAAACAGGGGGCAGGAGATTTTCTTATTAATAATGTAATAATTTGTTGTTTTTTCAATTAAGATGAATGTCAATTAAGGTGAAGGACAATTAAAGATTAAGGTGAATGTATAATATGATAAAATATATGAAAGCAATCAAATTAGAATATAGAGCGTAAAGTAATGTAAGTGTAATCCATTATACCTGAAATTTCCCTTCAATGCAGCAAATGATGCAACGTTTTAATATAATATATGCTGACATGTATTAATTGTTTTTAATCAAATATATACTAAAGTTATAATATTAATTCTACTGTTCGACTTTTTAAATTATATTTCATCAGCGGAACATCCGGCTTACCACTATTTTATTCATGGGTAGATCCAGGGCGTTTCGCCATAAATAAAAATCCGTTGCTTGTAAATATTCTCTAACTATTATATACGACTAAATATGTAACGACAAACAACAATTGTGATTGTCAAACAATAGAGAAGCGGTGAGAAATATTCTATCACAATTTAAATTCCGTATTATGTCGTACCCATCCTATTCTATTATAAGCTTTTTTCGCAAAACATCAAGGAAACAAGTGTCCTTTATTGGCTCATACAAAATTCCGAAGTATAGCTTTTATTATACTTTCATAAAGCATTACCATGTTAAGTATCTAATACCCGTATTCTTAGTCCTTCCTTGAGAAATAAGGATTCTTTATTTCTCATTTTATATTTCATAAACCTTCCTTGATCAAACAAGAAGTCTTACTGGCTCCCTTCTCTCAAGGAAAATCACGAGCTTCCTTGAAGAGGAAATGTTACCTTAAATCTGTTCGTTTTTGCTGCACTTCTGAACTAATGCACAAAAATGCAATAAGTTTTTAGCACATGATGCGC